TCTTCTGAAAAATGGTAGAATAAATGTCGGATGGCTGAAGGATTGAGATGATGAAGGAGATGGCGCAAGAAAAGAACGGTGATAGATTTCTCCCATAAAAAATTATAAAAATAAAAAAATTGACATAATTATAATAGAGAGTGAAACGGAGATGGGGAATGTAAAAGACACGAAGAGAAATACAAAGAAAGAAAGAAAGAAAGAAAGAAAGAAAGAAAGAAAGAAAGAAAGAAAGAAAGAAAGAAAGAAAAAGAAAACGAAACGAAACTACGAATGGATAAAAACGAAAGAAAGAAACGAAACGAAGAAATAAACGAAGAAAGAAAGAAAGAAAGAAAGAAAGAAAGAAAGAAAGAAAGAAAGAAAGAAAGAAAGAAAAAGAAACGAAACGAAGAAAGAAAGAAAGAAAGAAAGAAAGAAAGAAAGAAAGAAAGAAAAGAAATGAAATGAAATGAAGAAATAGAATTTAAAAGAAAGAAAATATTAGAAATATAAAGGAAATGTAAAGAAAGAAACAAAATACGAGATTGCAAAAAAGAAAGAAAAAAAAAGGAGGAAAAATTACAAAGTAAAAAATGTCAGAAATAAAAAGGTAATTTTAAGAAAGAAAGAAAAAGAAAGAAAAGATAGAAACGAGAATGCAAAAATTAGAAAGAGGGAACAGAATGCAAACATTGGAAAGAAAGAAAATATTAGAAAAATTCAAATATTTAGACATAAATAAATGAGAGAGAAGAAAATATACAAAATTAGAAATAAATAAATAAAACACTGGGAATAAATGAATGCAAAAATTCTAAAGAAAGAAAGAAAGAAGTAGAAATGCAGCCAAGAAAAGGAGGGAAAAACTAAAAGAAAAGAAGACACAGAATGAATAATTTATGAGAAAAAACTGGAAAAGGAACGTTGAAAATACTCATGCAAAAAGGAGGGAATATTATTAGGATTATAAAAAAAAAATAGGAAACTAATGGAAAGAAGAAAAAGTAAATTGTTAGAATAATAGAGAAAGAAAAACATTGAAAGTAGGAAAGTAAGGCGAATAAGAGAAATCGAAGGAAAAGTGAAAGAAGACTGAAACAAAAGAAAAAAACAAGAAAGATAATTCAGAAGAAATTTATAAAATGATCGCAAGACAAGAAAAGACGGAAGGAATATTGAAAAAGTAAATAAATAAGAAAGGAATATTAAAAAGAGGGATAAAGAAGGAAGGAAGGAAGGAAGGAAGGAAGGAAGGAAAGAAGGAAGGAAGGAAGGAATAGTGAAAAAGAAGAGAGGAAGGAGGGAAATAATATTTAAAAAGTAAATAAGTAACAAATGAATATGAAAAAGGAGATAAAGAAGAAAGTTTTAAAGGAAGGAATAGTGAAAAGCAAATAAATAAGACAGGAATATAAAAAAAGGTGATAAGGAGGAAGGAAGGGAAGGAAAGAAAGGAAGGAAGGAAGGAAGGAAGGAAGGAAAGAAAGGAAGGAAGGAAGGAATGTTAATAAAATATCTAAAGGTAAGTTGGAAGGAAGGAAAATAGCAAGCAAGGAAGAAAAGGAGGAATATTGAAAAGCTAAATAAATAAAGGAATATGAAAAAAGGCTTTAAAGAAGAAAGAGATAGTGAAAAATATGTAGTAATAAAGAAGAAGAAAAAGGAAAAAATGTTGAAAAAGAGATAATAAAAAGAAACGAAAGAAGGAGAAGAAAGGAAGTGAAGCGGAAAGAAAATAATTAAAGAGTTAAGGAAAAGCTATGAAAAAGGGAGAAATATTAGAAAAAAAAAGAAGGCAAAAATAGGCAAGACATAAATGTAGAGGGAAAGAGAAAAGCGGAATATTGGCAAAGAAGAAGAGGAAAGAAAAGAATACTGTGAAAAAGAAAAGAAGAAAGATATTAGCTTAAAAATGGTGAGGCATAAAAACCTTTGAAAAACTAAACAAAAACCGAAAGAAAAACAGGAAATCATTTTTTAAGGGAAAGTAAGAATTAAAAGACAGGACAGAAGGAACTGATGCAAATTTTCAGGGAAAAAAACCTAACGAAAGTAAGAAACGATGGAGAGAAAAAAAGAAGGGCAAAAGATCTGTGAAGGAATAAATAAGAAAATTTAAAGAAACAATCAAAGGAAAAAATCGTACGAAAGGGATTATTCATAGCGCATGTAATGGGAATTTTAATCTCATATTGGGGTAGTGTACACGCACATAGGAGTATTATATATATATATATATATATATATATATATATATATATATATATATATATATATATATATATATATATATGTACGTGTGTGTATGTGTGTGTAATAGGTGGTCTTGTATATATCTAAAGATTTGCCTGTGCCATGTTTCTGTAATTATGCTCTTACGTGTATGCATGAGTATGAATGGCTGAATGAGTGTAAAGTCATGTATGCTTGCACAGATAAGAATAAACGTAAACACATCAGTAAGTACGTAGCCTGATAATGAAAAGATCATTTATTTCACACAATATGTGATTATATTTCAGTATAATCTCCTTTCGTTTAATGGTCAATATTATTAATCTGATACACCGGGCATTACACAGTGAATATTTAACATCAAAAATCAACTAATAACAACGTACCGGGCTACTAATTTATTGATCTTTCCTCCTATGTATTGCTATATGTTTATCGTTACTTGATAAATAGGATACAAAAAATGTTGGTTGTAATGTTAATATTTTCTGATGGTGCGTTGAAAATTGGGCGAAAAGTGTGTCGTAAAGGTTAATATAGAATTATATGCTCTCTCAGTTTTTTTTTTTGTTTTTTTTGTTTTTTGTTTTTTTTTATTTCTTTCTTTTTTTTATTCTCCCTTTTCTACTCTCGGTTGTGGGGATTTTTTGCTGCTTATTTCGGGATTCATTTAGCAACTTAGTCCTTAGCGATTATTTTACTTTGGTGCTTTATTTTCAGTTTTTCATCTAACGGATTTTTTAGCAATCCTTTACGATGTTTTCTTGTTTGTGGGGCTAAAATGAAGGCCTGATTGAGAAAAAAAATCTTTTAGGAAAAAGGTGGCAAAGTCGATGATGGAAGGGATTAGGCTTTAAAAAATTATTTTGATATAATTATTAATCCTCTCTCTCTCTCTCTCTCTCTCTCTCTCTCTCTCTCTTCTCTCTCTCTCTCTCTCATACCCATGTCCTTTCAGGAACATGGCTCTCCACAACTTCTTACCATTTTTTTTCTCAAAATAACTCATCCTCTTTTACTGGACATTTTTTTATCTTTGTGCTCCTGGTTCTGACATCCATTTACTCAAAAGCGTAAAATAGGTTACCGTTTTACCCCGTTACTTCTCTTTAATTCAATATGTCCTGTGAGTGTTAAATTCTCCAAATTTCTTTCCTCGTTAAAATTTTTGGAAAAGACGGCAAAATCAATGATGGAAGAGATTATGCTTTAAAAAATTATTTTGACATTATTATTAATCTCTCTCTATCTCTCTTAAAGTACCATGTACATTCAAGATGTAGGCGATCATATACCTCCACGACATCCTGTCTTTTGTTACTCAAAGTAATTTTTGCCCATTATCATTCCACTTTGTTTTTATTCTGCCACGCATTCACACAAACACGTAGGTTACTTAACGTTTTCTCTTACTTCTCATGCCTTCAGTATGCTTTGTAGTCTTGGGTGTGACGTTAAACTACACACGGATGCAAGGCCTCTGATCAGGAGATTGGAGGTTTTTAAATGCTTCGAACCACGTCTTAAATTCTGTTGTTCTCAGGTCCACTCAGACCCGATGTGGTAGCACTTGTTAGCTATGGACAAATAGTGACCCACACAAACAAAAATAAAACACAATGAAAATATAAAAATGCACATTTATAGCAAAATTACCAACAATACATATTTAAAGCAAAATGACAAGAAATACATTTTATCGCAAAATGACCAACAATACATTTTATATGTAGTTGAACGCATGTAACTGCGTTCAAAACATATTTAATTGAAGTCATGTATTCAAAATATTTAAATTTTGGCATTGAGGTTGATATGCGGCTAAACAAAAATCAGTATGCCTTCTCCAAACTTTCTTTATTTATTATGTCTCCCAAATTGCTGCAGATTTTTTTTTTTTTTTTTTTTATTCTCCTTGAGATTTCTTTGCTTCTCACATCTTCACATTATGGCAGTCTCGGTCGTAGAACAGGACTTCTGTTACTTCAAGTCTCTTTATTCATCGATGAGGATATATTGTCCAATATCCACTGTCAATACATATCCCATAGCAGGATAAGGGTTATCGGTGAGGAAAATCGAATCGATGTGCCGAGTCCAAATTCTGATCAAGAGTGTCTCGTTCGCTTCGCACTAATATTCCAGGAAAAAGGATATGAAGCCATCATCTTCTGGCTATGGATTCAGTAGCAGAGCAAACTGGTGAAAGAGATGGAATATAAATGAAGGCGAAAGTAAGATAAGAATACAACAGGCTTGTGCGTCTAGTGTTAAATACCGAGTTGAATTGACAAAACAGAATATCAACCAAAAACAATTTAGCTGTCCTGTGGTGCATTGACGTCAAAACGAAAAAGCTTCTCTCCACCGCATGAATCATCCTGATGTTGATTGTCTGTATATGCCCAGATCCGAAGGAGGCAGAGGATTACTTCAACTAGAACTGTCTTACAACTGAAATCAAGGGAAATAATAATAATAATAATAATAATATGCAATAATGCCAAGGTTTTTTAGTCCGGTATTGGAAAAATTAATACCATTAAATTAAAGAAATCAGAGGAGGAAGGTATGACAAGCTAGAATAATTTCTGTGGTGATATTAAAAATTTAATATGATAATTGCAATGGCGAAAATAACCGTTTCCATACAGGAAACATTCGACATTCGTTGACTGAACAGTTAGCATTACTGTCAGTTGAAATTTATAAAATCATTTTCTTAAAGCAGTTTTTAAGAAAATTGGTTTTGTTAAGTTCACGAAATGTTATAGATCTTTCTA